CGAGTACTATTCTTTCAGAGTAGTTTGTTGTTTTTTGTCCTGATTTATTTTGCATGCTCAGCAGATTCAGTTTTGAACCATTTAATTATTAAATCTATCTCCTCACTATATGACAAATCTAAGCCGCTGATGGCATTTTGGAAGGAAGATCACCAGGCTCTATAGCTTTCAGAATAATCATTAAACTTTTCAAGTCCTTGTGTGACTAGCTCACAGGGTGCAAGGAATTTGGCAACGTCTATGGTGGCTCGATTAGCCAACTGGCCATTGCTGTGGTGAAAAGATGTGTAGTCATACCTTTTAGGAGTATCTGGTTTCAGCTGATCCTTTCCATGCTGCTCTGGTGTGAAGGCTGATCCTGTAGGATAATTTGCAGGCTCAAGTACCTTGGATGTGGGGGATCTACTGTTAGCCTGTAGTGGTGCTGAGTAGCATTTTTGGCTTGCTTCTTGAAGGTTGTCTTTTTCATCGAGGTGAGCATTGTTGCTTGGCCTGGAGTGCTGATAGACGTACTCTGAAGTGCATTGCAGAGGATCTTGGGGTTAGCTTCTGGCCCAAGCACATTGCTGCATTTACTGCATTCATTGTCAGAATATACAGCTCTTTCTAGGGCTCTCACATCAGATGTGGGAACCTCTACTTCTTTCTCTATGGCAAGCTGCTCTAGGTTTGATTCTAACAAGGCTTTCTGCATTTCCAGGGATGCCTCTTGCTGCATTCTTTCAGTCTCTAACCAAACTCTCTCTTTTTCATTTCCATTTCTTGTTCAGCAAAGGCTACTTGTGCTTTTGCTGCTTCAGCCTTTGTACTGGCAATGGCCAATGCATTACTTGCTGATGACTGTTTAAATCTCACCTCCTTTCTCCATTCAGCATCCTTTCAACAAAATAATTTTCTCTGTTTCTCTCTTTCTCTCTTCAGTAAATCACACACATTTTTCCATGAATTTATTTCCCACATCCTCCATGGGACCTTTCTCATTTCTTTTCCTTGCAAACACTTGCTATTGCCTTTCCACTTACTTCACAACAACAACAACTAAACCTTGCAACTTACTGTTTCTCTGTAAGAAAGGGTATCAAAGTATTAGCCCCTTTCTTTCTGGGGGTGGGGGTCAACACACAGGCAACCAACCATTCACACCAACTTGTTTACCATTAACCTATTCACACATTTGTACTGCAATCAGACTGCTTGTATAAACAATTTCACATACAATAATTTCACTTCATGCTTTCTCCATGCAAAGCAATCATTATAATTAATTCAGGGATCTTTTCACAAGCCAAGGAGCTCCATTTTCTAAATAACTTTTTGTGTTCTATAATTAGAGGTCTCATCCTCCCTCCAGGTGTTGGAAATGACTACACACAGACACAAATACACACATACCATTAAACAATTTTTCCAGACCTGTGGAGGTTTTGTCCATTTAAATCTCCACTTTTTTCTTTCCATGGGCAATCTGTGGCTTGTTCTCCAAGCAGTGGGAAGTAATTCCAATCAAAAATGTGATAGAGGGCCCTAACCACTGCCTAACTGTTTCCCACAGCTTTAAGCCCAAACTGAGAAGGCTACTTAATTTGCTGGCTGGCCAAACACATCACAATCAATTCAATCCTATTCATTTCTTCATACTATTATTATAGAGGCACATCTAAGAATTTTGAACAGAAATCACATCAAATTGATCAAGACAAATTATCTGAGTCTTCCCATTTAGACAGGCTTTACTTTTTTTATTACCTGCTAAATCCCGGGTAGGAAGAACAATAACCTTTTCTTCTTTGGTCAGCCCCAATTTCTGAATCATTTTACTGCATAAAGTTCCACCCATTGTTGGTTGTGTATTTCCATAGGTACTGAATCGTTACTATCTACCTGAAGGTGTCCTCTCTATCTGTCTTAGATCTCCCAACAGGCACTGGCCTATTTTTAAAGACCATGATCTATAGAGACCTTCATTCATATATCCAAACACTTTGTTTGCACCTGGCCAGGGCTCTCACGAACTTCTGGAAACTTCTGGAAACGCAAGCTTGAACTCCACAATTATTTCACCTTACCACTCTTTATGAGCCTTGGGGCATCTCACACACACGCTCACAGGACTCAGGATTCACCACAGTCCTACACAACCAACTCCCCCAACTGCCCAGGTAATTTACCTTACCTGGGTCCATGCCCAAAGTTACATGGTGGCTTATTCCATGGGATTTATCACTTCAAGTTTTCTTTTTAGTTTCTTACTTCTTTGTTGACCTCTACTTGATGTATGCATTCCTTCATGGGCACTGGACCTGTCATTGCCTCCCTCAGTTTGACTGCTGAAATCAGAAGGGCATGCCTTCCTTCCAAGGGGTTTGCCTCCAGGCTTCCCAGATGCCATTCTGGAAGCCCACATTGGGTGCCAACTTGTGTGTAACAAATTTACACAATACTTGGGTCAACCAAAAGTAAGATGTATTAGAAAGCTATTTGCAAAGAGCTGGTGGAACTTTGCTTTGGCACAACAACAGAAGTCCACACAGGACTCCACACAGAAGTCCACACTTAGTTACAGATCTCAGCATAAACAGCAGTAAATACCAAGAAAATATAACAAAACAAAAAGAAGGTGGGAAAAGAAAGTATATGTCAGCCAGCCTGCTGCTTGCTGCCATAGAATAGTGGGGAGGAAATAGGGAGAAGATTACATTGCAGCTTTGCTGCTATTTCCAAGGCCAAGTCCATTGGCTCTGGTATGCGGTTGCCTAGCTACAAGGGGATTGGGCTGTATACTGTGTTTGAAGTTGATGTGTTCACACATTTTCCCTCATAGCTTGTTTGAAACTGTTTGCTTTCAGTTTGTTCCTAGTAAAAGTACTTTTCTCTAAATCTATGCAGCCAAGGATTTTTTTTCCTAGGATATGAACAGAGGCAACCTTGACATTAAGCAAGCTATACTAGCAGTCTACCGTGGGGACCAAGCATCTAATGTCCAACCACAGGGGTGAGCTGGAGGAAATTGGCGCTATGGCCAGCTCTCCCACTAAACCACACCAGACTCCAGGTGAGGCAGAATGGCAAGAAGAGCTGGACTTCAGCGAGAAGCACATCAGGCTCAGATGGGCAAGGGGCATGGGGCAAAGGGAAGACCCCACCCCTGGAGAGAAGCCCAGAGGAAGCCATGCTGAACCAGGCTCTGTTCCTGATACAACAGGTTAGGAAGAGTCGAAGAGCCCAAGAGCCTCTTGCACAGGCAGCTTCTCAAGGATCCTGGGGTGCCCCAGACCAAGCTGTGCAAACCATTCCACCTGCAGGAAGCGTTCCTCAAAGGCATCACCCCAAAGGTCCCAGCCTTGGATGTTAAGTATGGGGGAGATCCTGAGCAATTGGGGTACTTACTGGTGAAAGTCTGGAACTACATGCAGAAGTATGGGACTGAACTGGAGACAGCAGAAGCATGGATAAAATGAGTAACCATGGCCCTGGATGGGGCAGCAGCAAAGTGGATGGTCTCCCTCCACAATGACAATGCCCCCCAACTGCAGAACTATGACCACTTTATAGCAGCCCTTCGCCAATGGTTTGAAGATCCACTGGTTGAGCAGAAGTCTAATATCCAGATAAAGACCATCACCAAAAGGCAATGATCAGTGGCCAAGAGTTTCGAGAGTTGGCATGCCAGTTGGCCACATGGTCTGAAAACATCCTCATTGACTGCTTTAAAGATGGCCTCAATGACAACATCTACCACACCTACATCTCGCACAGAGCCCCACAAACCTTACAATGCTGGTATACGTTGGTGGCAGAAGTAGAAATCGACCTTGCCTAGGACCAAAACTGGAGGACCGGTGGATGGGGTGAGTCCTTCCCTTCCACACATAAGAAACACCCCAGGGCATATTGTGCCTCAAACATGGGGGGAGGGGCGCCAAGCTGCAGCATACCAATCCAGCAGACCCAACCTCAGCGCCATGACAACCCCAAGGGAGGAGGCAACAAAACCAGCTCCAAGGACCTGAGAGACAGTACTGAAAGGTCTGGAAGTCATAGAATTCACCCCTCCTGGCTCTGAGTGGTTGGGAACTCTGACCAATTCGGGTGAGGCTGACAGTGATGGCAATGATGATCCCCTGGTAAATCAGTGGGTGACCCATGTAACCCTCCCTGTGGAGTTAGTGGTGCCCTCTTTGGGGGCCCAAGGGAGGATGCTGGCTTTATTGGGCTGCACTAGATGCATAGTCATCCCTGAAGTCATTGAAAAGCTGGGACTGAGATTCAAATGGCTGAGAGCCAGTTAGATGGGACTGTAGCCGGAGGGGGCCCAGTTCACTTTATAAGTGAACCAGTAGAGATGAGAATGGGAAAGCATAAAGAAATTCTGAGTTTTATAGTGGTGCCAGGGGTGGAGAGCTCCCTCCTACTTGGACTGTCTTGGCTGTAGAAATGGAACTCTGGAGAGAATTGGAGAAGTGGGCTTTTAAAGATTCAGCAGAAAGTGGCCAAGGAAGAGGAAAATATCCCAAAACCTAGCAGTGAGAGAAACAAAGGGCAAAGGAAGCTGGGTGCTGCTCGGGATCGCTCAATAAGTGAATCCAAAATCCCAAAGAAGTACTGGGACTTGAGAGATGTGTTTAATGAGAAAGGCTCTGATGCGCTCCTGCCCCACCACCCCATGGACTGCAGTATTGAAATTCTTCTGGGAGCTAAACTCCTGAAGCCTAAACTTTACTTGATGACTCCACGTGAGCAAGGAGAGCTTCGCACAAAGACAAGAACTTAAAACATGGATTTATCCAACCAGCAAGGCCATAAGTTGCAGCCCCAGTTTTGTTCCGGGACAAGAAAGATGAGACTCTTCATCTCCGTACTGATTATAGGGGGCTAAATGCAGTGTATGTAGAAAATGTCTACATATAGATTTAAATCTATATTATATATTTATTTGTAGGCATAAATATATCATAGGCCTAAGTATACACTTGTAACTGACCTTTGTCTTCTCTTCTCAGGTATGTAGTTGGAACTGGCTTGGTATCCATGTGGACAGTCTTTTGTACCCAGGGGGAGGAGTCAAGGTAAGGTGGGATTATGGGAGTGATGGGTTGTGTAGTTGTGTTAACCCTTGCTAGACCGTAGGGAAATAGGAGCATATGTAAGTTAGACATTTTACGTGACAAATACCAACATGGCTTTCAACAATGGAAGTATTAGTATACCCAAATATTTCCCATTAAAATGGGAAACATTATAAGATATAAAGATATTTTATCAGCAACAGGGAAATTGAAAACAAAACAAGAACTAGATGAACAAGGAATTGAAATGGAGTGGTATACTCAGCTGCAAATACAATCAAGATATTAAAAAGATGCAAAGCTATATGGTTTTTACTTGGAAATGACAGTATTGGATGAGATACAGGAACAGATGAGAAAATGATTAGGAAATTGTATAATTATTTACTTAGAGTAAAGTTGGAAGAAGAACAAGTTAAAGAAACAATGATAGCATGGGCAAAAATTTTTGGTTATACAATTGAGTTAGATAAATGGCAGCAATTATGGGAAAGAAATTATAAATTAACAATGGCCACAGCATATAAAGAGACTTGTACAAAATGTTCTATAGATGGCACATGTCACCAGAAAGATTGGTAAAAATGTTTAAAGATAAATCAGCTAAATGTTGGAAATGCCATCAGATACCAGGATCATATTATCATATGTGGTGGATACGTCCAGAAGCAAGAAATTATTGGGCAAAAATTAGAATATGGTTGGAAAAATTAATACAGCAATATATTGATTTTAAACCATCTGTTCCTATCAGAGAAGTATAGTAAAGAAAATATATATTTGATAATACATGTAATAACAGCAGCAAGAATGGTATTTGCACTAAATTGGAAAGCAGAAAAAACTCCTACAAAGGGAGAGGTAATTAAAAAAATATTGGAATGTGCAGAAATGAATAGATTGACATTGACAATTAAAGTGAAAGAAGAGTCGGAGTATTACAATATATGGGGGAAATTTTATCAATGGATAGAAAATGAGTATAGATAATAAATACGGTAAAAGTAAGAATTTTGGGAAGAATATGTTGTAGTACGTTAAAATTAAATGAAAGAGGAAAGATAAATGTACACATTAAGAAAATGATGATAAATGTTGAAGATGATGGCACAAAAATGTTGTACTCACATGATACGCAGATTGATTAATGATGTACAGGAATGATAGAAGAGATGTAATTATAAAGCTAAAAAGAATTTAAAATGAAGATGTATGTAAATAGAAAATCGGGGCTGCTCAAATACCATTTTAGACTGAATTGAAAATGGAATTAACAAGGGAGTGGAAAAGGAGAGAGGAGTAGAGAGAGGGAAGGAGTGGAGTACGGAGGTAAGGAGAGAGAAGGACAGAAGAGAGGGGAAAGGAGAGGAAGAAAAGGGGACATTGGCAATGCCTGATACGCCCCTTCTCGTTGAGTGGAGACAGCAGCCAGATGTGGGTTATGCTCATTGGTCAAATGTGGACTGAGCCTGTCAATTAATTATTAAATCCCACCCCTATTCCTAGGGATTCCAGCTTTGGTGAAGGAGGAAGACAGACTCTGAGTGTGGAAAGTAGAAAAAAATAAACAAACTGTTAGATAAATTTTACTCTTAGTGCCCAGACTGATACTGGGTGGGACTGGCTGCTGTCTCCACTCAACGAGAAGGCATTGCCTTCTCAGGCATTGCCAACGTCCCCTTCTCCCTTGAGAGTGGAGACAGCAGCCAGATGTGGGACATACCCAAGTTCACTGTCCCAACTCATGGGAGGGAACAGTCTGGGCCGAAAAACTCCTCCCTGACCTCAACACCTTGTAATACTCTTCTCCCAAAATCAGCCTCTGCAGAGGCAAATTTATCTAATTTATAGTGTTTAACAAATGGAGAAGGAGAGGTCCAAGTAGCTGCTCTGCATATTTCAGACAATGAAGCCTTAGAAGCCTAAGCAGCTGTAGTTGCAGCACTTCTGGTGGAATGAGCTGTCACCTTGGTAGGAGGAGGCAAAGATCGCAGTTCGTCTGCCATCTTAATCGTTGTTCGGATCCATCGACCTAACGTCGAAGAAGATACCTTATTTCCTAATGAAGCCGGAAGATAGGAAATGAACATTAACTCTGTCCTACGAATATCAGCCGTCCTCTGGATGTATAACTTCAGTGCCCATCTGACATCCAACATGTGTAATCTGTTTTCCAATGGATTGGAAGGTGAGGAATAAAAATCTAGTAAAACAATTTCCTGCAAACGATGAAAAGAAGATTTAATTTTAGGTATAAAAGTAGGATCCAATCTGAGGACCACTCTATCTACATGGAATACACATAAATCATCTCGGACCGACAATGCTGCAAGTTCTGAAATACGTCGCGCCGAAGTAATCGCGACTAGAAAACAACTTTTTCTGACAATAAACGTAAACTGGTAGAGTCTATTGGTTCATATGGCGAATCCATAAGTGAATCCAACACAATTGAAAGTTCCCAAGAAGGGTATCGATGTATTACTGGTGGACAAAGGTTAGCTGCTCCTCTGAGAAAACGACGAATCGTGGGAACTTGTGACAATGAATTATTGGAATTATATGTCAGGATAGATGAGATAGCAGCCGCCTGTCTCTTGAGAGTGTTGGGAGAAAGTCCTTTTTCTAAACCAGCCTGTAAAAACATCAGTACCTGCAAAACAGAAGCTTGAAGAGCAGAAAAACCTTGGGTCTCACACCAAGATGTAAATGTGCGCCAAGTTGCTGAATAAATTCGTTGTGTTGATGACCGCCTAGATGCCTGCATGGTTCTAATTATTGGAGATGGAATGTGATTTCGCTGGAGAGCATCCCACTCAACCGCCATGCGGTCATCTGTAGCCATTGTGGTTCCGGATGTGTGATTACGCCCTGGCTGAGGCAATTCATGATACATGGTATCCTCCAAGGAGGAGTCACTGATAAATTCATGAGGTCTGCAAACCATGACCTTCTTGGCCAATGTGGCGCTATTAGAATGATTTCCGCCCTTTCCAGTATTAGTTTCCGAATTACCCTCGGAATTAGAGGAATTGGTGGAAAGGCGTACAACAGACCTTGTGGCCAAGGGGAGTGTAGAGCATCCACAGCTTCTGCAACATTGAACGTTCTATCTTTTATGACCCTGGCCACAAGAGATCTCAACCCGGGTTACGATCCGGGTAGAGGAAAAATTTACCTTCAACTAAATCAAATATAGTTCCTAAATGAAGAATTCTAGTCATCTAGGAACCATAATTCTAGAATCATAGTTCCCAAATGAAGAATTCTAGTCGAGAGTTTCAGATGGCTTTCTCTATGTTAACAGAGAAGCTGTGTGAGGCCAGTGTCTGAATGGTAAATTGGACATCTGAAATGTCCTGCTGAGGAGTTAAACAGAAGAGACTTAAACAGAGCCTGGGGAAATAGGCTCGTGAATGCAGGTTGATCCGGAGGTAAGCCCTCAACCTCCGACAACTCTGGTTCCTGAGGCTCCATCTCTTCCGATACAGAGTGTCTACTGACATAGGAGACGGATGGAGAATCTGAGCCCGCAAGCGAGAGGGCATCTTCCAAATTGACTCTGTCCAGCGAAGCCGAATAGTCCGAATGGACCGAATACACTGTAATCGGTCTGGCAGTCGAGAAAGTATGAGTCGACAGGGATCGTTGCCCCATTGCTGCAATCATACATTGAATGTCCTCTGGACGTAAAGGGGTAGAATCATGGTCTCAGGCTGGGCCGGCCTCTGTAGAGGCTTGAACCAGAGCAGAAGATACAGGTGAATGAACCACCAACCCAGCTGGAGTGCTATACTCCACAGCAGGGCCGGATTTTCCTATAGGCTAACTAGGCTTCAGCCTAGGGCCTCAAGATCAAGAGGGGCCTACATTCAAATTGTTAGCAAAATTAAAATTACACTTTCATTATAGGTGAAAGGGCCTTATAAGTGGAATAGCCTAGGGCCTCTTTTCATCTAAATCCGGCCCTGCTCCACAGCATTGATACCCCACAGGTAGGGGAGATCCCAATAAGTCAACTGACTCAACTGACACCAGGAAGTCTTGCAGCAACATCTGATCTAGGGTCGGAGAGAGGTCACGTCTACGTTCCCCTGGAGAAACCCTGGCTGTTGTAGATGATGTAGGACCACTGTCCTTGGCCTTGACTACAAGCTTCCATAGAAGCTTTTCCTTGCGTCTAGCAGAAAACTTAGCCTGAGGTTTAATGGATACTCCATCCCCTTGCACATGCTTGGCATCTTACGCTTGGAAGCAACTGACTGTTCCCTTACTGTGGCCTGGTGGCCATGTTTTGACTTGTCCAGATCCTTAGGCATGATAGGCCATATAACACCCAAGAAGTGGAAAATAGACTCCATGTTAAGCAAGGCAGTCCTGTATCAGGGGAATGTCAAATTCTAGATGTATTCTGAGATAAATATGCGAGGCAGCAACAGAGAAAAGAGAAGGCAATTAACCCCAAGCCTGTAAGGTGAAGCAATGTCTGCCAAAAGGGCTGAAGGCAAGGTTAGGCCAGGGTAGCAGGCACAGCCAGAAAGACTGGAGGCCTGAGAGAAGCTCAATGTGTCGCCTCGCCCCTAAACATAATGGCGGCCAGAACTGCCAACTCAGGGATCACAAAGCTCCGTTACTGATCAGAACAGCAATGTCAAACAGCTGAGATGCGGACCAGTAAGAGAAGTCAAAGAGTCGAGCAGGTATAAATTAGGGTGATTTTACATATCACCAAGCCCTTGTGATGTGACCACAAGTGGCAAACCACAGGGAGCGCGAAAACTCCACTTTGAAGCCGGCGGCAAGGTCAATCAGCTGAGAAGCGGTTAATAGTGACAGCGGGCAGAGCTTTGTTCATTTCTGCAGGAGAGAATCAGAACCTGGAGGAAAAGAACCGACAAGCGGTGATAGTCAGGGAGCGCAAAGACTCCACTCAGAACCTGGCAGCTAGTCTCAAACAGCTGAGAAGCGGCTCTATTGAGTCTGCTGGAGAAAAGCTGTGC